TATAGCACAAAGAGGGCAAGAGAGCCCTGGGGTCTCTGCCACAGTCTCTGTCTCTCTTTTGCGGTGCTGGGGATGAAGCCATGCCCTTGTGCATGCTGGGTAAGCACTCTAACCTGGTTACTCTGGGTCTCTTTTACAGGAGACAATGATCCTCCTCATGAGGGCTCCATTCTCATGGCCTCATTACCTCCTAAACCCCACCTCTTATTTTTAATCTTTTTTTTCCTGGTTATTGGAGATTGAACCAAAGCCTTCACACTGAGGTACATCCACAGCTTTTTAATTTTTATTTTGAGACAGGATCTCACTAAGTCACCAAGATGCCAAGACTGGGCTCAACCTTGTGATTTTTGTGCCTCAGTCTCCCAGCATGCTGGGATTACAGGTGTGCACCACCATGCCCAGGCCCTGTCCCTTAAAAATGTACACTAGGGGACAGAATTTTAATGAACTTTCAGTCTGTTGCAGGAAGTCAAGAGAAATAAGGGAATATTGGGAATTTGTCCCAATTTGGAACAATGCTTGGGGGACCCACCTGAGTGAAGTGCTTGCAGGATGCTTGCGTACTTTCTTTTCTTTCCTTCCTTCCTTTTTTTTTTTTTTTTTTTTTTTTTTTGGTACCAGGGACCGAACTTGGGCCCTTGCATTTGTGAGGCAGGTGTTGGAACCATTAAGCTAAATCCCCAGCCCCATACTTTCTTTTCTTTTTTGGTACTGGGAATCGAACTTGGGACCCTACACTTGCAAGCCAGGCAGCAGCACCATTGAGCTAAATCCCCAGCCCTCTTACCTACCTTCTTCATGCAGATTACATAACATTCTGCCTTAATGCAATTATATCACACACTTTCCTATACAACATATGTTCATAACACAGGACTATATATTATAGAACACACTTTCTTAATGCAGTAGTGGCAAAATCAGCAACATCACTTGCCACTAGAAAAGTGGAGAGCTGAGAGTCCTGTGCTAGGAGTCAGGACGCAGGAATTCTGGTCCCGGCTCTGCACTGAACAGCCGGGAGGGGTAGAGTAACTCTCCAGGGCTTCTGCTCTGAAGATGATCAAACTGCACCAGGCAGTCCCTGCGGTCCGTTCAATCTGTGAGAACAAAGTTGTAGTGACCATCCTTCCCACTGTCACTGAGAGCCACCTGAGCTAAGCGTTAATGAGATGTTGTCACCTACCATTTCACTCTCTCGGGCTCTTTTTATTTCTTTGACCTGTCTTGAGAGGCTCTGATGGAACAGGGTCCTCAAGAATATCGCTCATCAAGTGGAGCTGTAACAGCCACCAATTCCTGGTCCTGTCTGCCCTTGGCTTAAGGACAGAGTTTTTCCCCAGACTCTTGGATACAGCTTTCTATTAATAACTCTTCCAATTTTTCAAGCTAACAAGTCCTGACTGTAAAAAAATCTAGAAAAAATGGGAAACAATGTGGAAGAATATTTGAATTACTCACAATTCTAGCACTTCCCTCGCAGCCACTGTTAACATATTTCTGAATGAACGTGTCTGTGTGTAACACATGGTTCGCCTCTCCCGCCCTCCCTCTCTCTGTGAGACAAGGTCTTACTATGGAGTTCAGTCTGGCTGGCATCCCAAGCTGGCCTTGAACTCATGGCAATCCTCCTGCCTCAGCCTCTGGAGTGCTGGGAGTACAGGCAGGCACCACCACGTCTGGTGGTTTGCCTCTCATACATAATTTTGTGTTCAGATTTCTAATTTAATAATATATTTGAATACTTCTAGGGGAATGGGACAAACTGTTATTCTGTAAATTTTTCCAGATTTTTATAAGCTTGGAATGTTATGCTAGAACCTAGTTTTTAACAGGCCTTAACATATGAAACATCTTATATACTCTAGAAATGTAATACTAAAATGTGTTTCTTTGTATTATTTTATCTCTCTAAATAATTGAGAGTCAACATTGTAACGAGGCAAGGTTGGCCTGTTATATCATCAGCACTGCTGAAGAAACACCAAGATGACAATGGACAAGGAGAAAAATACATTTTAAATTTCTTAGTTTATGGTACCATATTGTTAACAGTGGATAGAGGCAACTTCTTTGTGTGTGTGTGTGTGTGTGTGTGTGTGTGTGTGTGTGGTACCAAGGATCAAACTCAAGACCTTGTGCTTGTGAGGCAGGTGCAGCACCATTGAGCTACATCCCAGCCCTGTTAATGGTGGATAGAATCACTTCTGGGAGGTGGTGGTGACATTTGTAGGGTGTGTAAATGTCGGGGGGGGACAAGTGGAAAGAATGAAATAAGACAGGTGCTGAGCACACACGGGAACTTCTGGGGTGGTCCCTTCTCATCCTTTTTACTAAATGCTAGATAATAAAGTGATTTTAGTGCATTGTGAGAGGAAGAGGGACCCAGAAAGACAGGCACAGTGTGGGAGGTAGGTTCTAGAACCTTTTAAAGACAAAAACAGAACTAATTATGAACATTTTCTTTTTTTGGTACCAGGGATCGAACTCAGGACCTTGTGCTTGAGAAACAGGGGCTGGGCAGGGGATTTAACTCCGTGGTTCCGCCGCCTGCTTCACAAGAGCAAGGTCCCGAGTTCGATCCCTGGTACAAAGAAAAAAAGGGGAAAAAAAAGAAAAGCAGGCGTGGTGCCACTGAGCTAAACCCCTAGCCAACAAGCATTTTCTAATGTCATTAAATTAACTCAAAAACATCCTTTCACTCAGTAGATGGATATTCTTAACTATCTCCACAGACAAACCTGAACCATGCACTCATTCTAGATGTAATGTTTTGATCCAAGAAATTCAAACCATTTAATTCATCTTCATGGCTCTGCTGCAAAGCAAGGAAAAAGAAGAAATTACTCTCTACCACCCCTTTTATAGAATATCTGTCTGTGTATACTTATTTATTTATATTTTTTGGTACTGGGGATCGAACTCACGCCCTTGTGCTTATGAGGCAGGTGGCAGAACCACTGAGCCAAATCCCGGCCCTTATGTTTTTACTATGCGCTTCATGTTATAGAAAGTAAAGTTCCACATACTAAATACACCTCTCCCATCACTTCCAGCCTTCATTATCTTGTGCTCACTCACTTGAAGTTGTTGTTACCCTTGCTTTGTTTCAAATACCCAGCTTAATGAGTGTCACGCTGATTATTTAGTGGCTATATCGTGTTCCATTTTGTCAGTGTGCCTGGTTTACTCAGCCATACTTTTGTAGTACTTCACTTGGTTAGACTTGTAGGTAGATAACAGACCCTCTAAGTTTGACTTGTATTTATCTAATTCCTATCAGCTTTAGTTATGTGCATCTCTATCCATTCATGCTTTCTATCCATTTTCCTGTCTATGAAATGGCCTATTATTATCCTTTCAGACTCTCACCATCTGGCAAGGTAAGGATCAGCCATAGAAAACCTTATTAAATCTAGATGCTTTTAGGACTGCTAGTTTTTATGAGTTGTATTTGTTAAGAATCATTTTCACATTCAGTGATTGTCTTTTTTTAAACTTTGTTTAGTTACTTTATTTTATATATTTTTAAAACTTTTTTTCTGGTACTGGGGATCAAACTCGGGTCCTTGTGCTTGCGAGGCAGGCGGTAGAACCACTGGGCTAAATCCCTGGCTATGATGTATTTTTTTTAGACATTGAAGGGATTGTCACATGAACTCTTTTCCAGGGATTTCTGTCACCTAAGGAAAACTCCTCACTCTTCCTACAACTCCTGCCACCTGAGTCCTTGGTGTCATCAGTTCGTGGTCAAGTGGCCTGGGGTAGCCTGGCGCGGTGGCCTCCTCCCGGGGACATGGCGGGGGCCGGGCTGTCAGACACAGGGAGTCACTGTTAGCACCCTGCTTTTCCACCTCCCCACGTTTCCAAAAGGTCCTTGTGACAGCACAGAACTAGACCTCTGGCTGTCCCCTACACTAAGTGTTAGCTGCTTCATCCCAGAGCTGCCCACGGGTCCAGCGGATCGAGGCAAGAGCACCGTGCTTCCTTGACACACACTTGCTCTGGCCACTGCAGGGACGCAGATGATCTTGTCCATCGTTCAGAGGACCCAAGCCTCACACACTTCCCTGGCTGAGGCTAGGGGGCAGGGACAGACCCAGCTCCGAACCCAAGATCGTCTGTGCAGTCTCCTTTCCTCTCCCCGTGTGCCCCGTGTCACAGCAGCAGTCTTCGCGTGGGGAGGCGGGCTGCTCTGCCCAGCTGTGCACAGTGCAGATGCTCTGGGCCAAGGACACTGAGCTGGGCTCCACACTCCATCGGCCACGGTGGCACCGGAGTGAGAACTGACGGGAGATGCTGCGGGTCTGAGCCTGACAGTGGCGCGGGGAGGAGAAGGGGAGTGAGCAGGAGTCGGCGGACGGTGGTCTACCGCTGGGCTTCAGAGACGGCACGCTCCAAAGCTTTCGGACATAGGGTGTATTTTTTTAACAAAAAAATAAAATACCATTAGAAGCTCTGAAACTCATAGTAAGCAGAAGACTGCAAAAGTCGGGATTGAGGTGATGGTGAGAGAAAGCTGTCCACACAGGCAGAAAGAGAAATGTCAAGCACAACACAAAGGAGCAGGAGACAACAGAGAGCTTTAAGAGGGGCAGGTAAGCGGGAGAGGCCCAGCCGCTGGCAGGGCTGGTCCTAGGCAGTGGGGTGAACCCAGCAATTTCGCAGCCCAGCTCCCACGAACGGCTCTCTAAATACCCTGCTCCCAGGGCAAAACTGGCTTAATAGAGCCAATTGAATTTCTTTTTAAAACTCAAGTATCTGCTCTTTTTCATCTTAATACTATCTGGGAAATCACAAGGTTGATATGCCAGTTCTATGTTTGCAGTATATATTTTGCAACACATATTAAGGTAAATCCATTAAGATAATACAGATAAAGACATTCAGGTAAATGCAGTGAAGGTACGGGTAGAGATCTGCCTGTCTACCCACCTACCTAGTCTCCCCATCTGGGAAGCACCCTAACAGTCTCGGGTGCTGAGCAGCGAGCCCGCCATTCTCAGCAGAATCTGGTCTCCCTCCGTCCTGCAGTGCATAGCTTTGCCAGCATCTCCTTCTGGAATTATCTGAACAGCCTTCTGCAGATCTCTGAGCCTCTGGCGTTGGTCCAACTGCAATCCTGACTACGTACTCAAGCCAGAGTGTTAAATTCTGAAATGAAAATTGGATTATAAATAAAGATGGCCAAAGAAACCCGTATATTTAGCACTTGTCTTAGTCACTTTCCTGGTTGCCGAGACACAATGCACAACACCCACAAGTTAAACGAGGAGAGGTTTATTTTGGCTCACGGTTTCAGAGGACTCAGTCCCTGCATGGTCAGCCAGCACCGAGGGAAGCACCTGGGTGGAGGGAAACGGCTCAAACTACTGCAACCAGGAAGTGGAGCGAGGAAAGGGAGGAGCAGGCGTGGAGCTGTTTCCTCCCAGGTCACCCCCAGTGACCCACCTCCTAGTGCACATTTAGCTTTGAATTCATCAGCGGATCAATCTAAAACCTCACCCCTGAACGTATGAGGCTTTGGGGGGAATCATAACAACACTGCTCTCTCCTAAGACCAGTAAAACATATATTTTTTTTTCTGGAGATATAAATCCAACCAAAAGAACAAGCCAAGTCACAAGCACCCATTTCGGATGCTAGAAAGTGAGTGGGTCAGTGGTCCTGGAGTGTGAGGCATCAAAGTGAGGAAATAAACCAAGAAAGGAAGCCATGGCATGCAGGAAAGAGGCTCCAATGCGAGAGAGCATGAATGAGAAGAGGAATTCCAAGGTGACAGCTACACAGCAGCACACAGAGCCAGGGTCCCAGCTGGAGGCAGACCAGCAGACGTGGGGGATTTCTCCAAAACAGAAAACCAAAGCAGAGGCACACACCTATAATCCCAGCACTTAGGGAGGCTGAGGCAGGAGAACTACAGTTTGAGGCCAGCCTGGACAACTTAGTGAGAATCCCCAGACTGAAAACACAAAACTAAAACAGGAAACAGAGTGATAAGGGACAGGATTCTTTTTTTTTTTTAA